CCAATTTATAAACTTTCTACAACCAAGAGATTCTCCTTTTCAAGTATACAATTTGAAGAATGTGTAACTTTCTAGCAAACAAATACAAAAAATTGTTCATATCTCCTATAATACATATTTGATTTTATCACAGCGGCGAACATCAATGAGGAAAAGCATGCTATACAAGTAGGCTTTTTTTTAAAGAAGATGCTTCTTTCAGGCGGTCAGAGAGAAACTCGTTCAAAAGCCGGCATCATAACGTGACTGAAATAGCTCAAAATCAGACTGTAAGGTAATCATTGTAAAAACCCTACTTAAGTGACATGTTCGAATCGAAAACACATTTCAGAATTCCGGTTGACATTTTATGAGATAGGAACTCCACTATAAATCACGATACGTTTAGTTTATGCCAACAACTTAATCCGCATTTTCCCTTCGATAGTAAGTGGCAGATCCCGAACCAGCTAAACCTGTCTGCGGCAGAAACACGTGCCACAGGAGTAGTGATGACAGAATTCGAGCAGAGACTAGCTTTGATTCCCGGAAGTGGGTACCTGCGCAGCACGCGGCCTCCTCTACCTCCAGCAACCCCCTCGCCTCTCGCCCCTCCCAAGGTTTTGCATATTTTTTGTTGTGCATGCGCGTGATACTTTTTGAAAATTCAGTTAACCCTATTATGAAAAATTCGCGGCCTCAGTGGGAGTTGAACCCACACAGCAGGGAAAGTTTTTGCGCAGCCAACACTCTACCACTGAGCTATGAGGCTCACCGTGAACCGTGAATTTAATCACACTTGGGTCGATCACGGCGCGCAATGAGCTTCTTAGCTTAATGGTAGAGCGTTGGCTGCACAAAAAGCCTTCCCTGCTGTGTGGGTTCGACGCCCACCGAGATCGCCAGTTTTTTCACAATTGGGTCAACTGAATTAAGCAAACCTGCCAAACCTCCCTGACTTTATGAAAAGGCTGATGGATCTGCCTGTAGAAGCTGCCGAAGGCATATTCTGACCTGCAGCGACCAGTACTAATGAGGCTACGATAAAGCATATGAACGCGAGTTCATGTGTGGTCAGGCGTGCTTTAATTTTCAACAGCCCTTCAGGTCAATTGTCAGCAAACAGGAGAACTCGTTGACTACTCCTCACTATAGGTAAACCTAACAGGAAGGAAAGAAAACTACAATTAGGCTATGCTGGCCTACTGAGTACACATCAGTTACCACACAGAAAGTGGCCAAGGCATCTGAGGAGTCTAGGAACGCGGAAAGGTGCAAAAACGACTCCCGGAACATCCTTAATACGGGCGAGACAATAGCGATCGCATTACCGATGCAAACAAAAATGCGAGTCCCTGGAAGTAATGTAGAATAAATATACGCGATCTCTGGAATAAGAGCTTCAGACGCCTGACGTTTCGGATTCATGCACGACTGCAGCACCAGATACCGGTAATTTATACATACAGAGAGTTGTTATTTTTATAGGATGGGGTCACTATGCTACCGCATCCCAGGGACAGTTAACAGTTCCTCATTTCGGGGTGAGCATGGCTTACTAATATCCCACATGGGGGATTAAATTTCAGTGAGTAACGATTCGAATGTCACCCACCAAGTAATTGAGGCATGTCCATAAATTCTGGAAAGACGAAGTTATTCTCGAGCTGCATCCCTGAACAGGAGAAGGCCCCACTTGGGATTAACGGCCATCAACTTGAAGAAGTAGATAGCTTTAAATATCTCGGGGCGAGGATGCTACCGAATGGGCAGAGCAAGGACGACATTGTCTCCC